TTATTTTTATCATCATTTTCATTTTGCTATGACACAGACTCATCCAAGGTTGTATAGATTGTGAGTGACTAAATAAATACTCCAAATTCTGGCTTTAATTTGTCACCCCATGTTTCTTTGCCCATTATCTTCACCCAGACAGTCTCTAAGGTCTCTTTGAGCTCTGAAAGAATAAAGTAAAAGCTTCATGAGGAGATAGAAAGCCCCTTTGGTTCAGCATTCTATCCCCATTATTATGTGCATGTCTGCAAAGTCCAAGGTGCTTGGTTTTTGTTGTTTTTCATTTGCAACAACATGGATGGGTCTTGAGAGTATTATGCTAAGTGAAATAAGTCAGGTGGAAAATGACAAAAAAGTATCATCTTTATCACTCATGTATGATATAAAACAAGAAGCAACAACCAAATAAAATAAAATAAACTCATAGATATAGACTACATATTGGTGGTTACCAAGGGGCAAGGAAGTGGGGAGAGATGAAGTGGATAAAGGGGGTCAAATATACGTGGAAGGAAACTAGTCCTCAGATGGGTTTGGGACCTTGTTTTTTATTAAATTGAAGTCTATGTCCTGAATCTCTTTTATAGCCTCAGGAATGAATGCTAAAGTGATTAATTATTGAGTGGTACTAAGCAACTGCTACCCATGAAGATGATGAACTAAACCCATTATGAGACCCAAGGATATAGTATGATATATAGCTGTGCCACTGCCACAAATAGCACTCATGGATAAGGTGCAGATTATATCACATGCAAACATCACCATTGCTGGTGATGGGAGGAGCGGGAAGAAGGCAAGTGGGATATCCCCTGACTTCCATTTGTGTATCTTCCTTTCCCTAAAGGCATCACTACCGGATGCTGGAACTTTGAAGGTTTCTTATAATTTGGTCTGAAAAATTCACTGGGTTTTTCCAATCTGTTAGTACTTCCTCTTTAAAGCTTAGCTTCTCAAATTGGTAAGCATTTAATTTCAGTTACAAAATTAGTTAATTATTGGTATGACATATTAAGCTGATAATTTACCAATGAACAACCAGTTATAATTTGCACAACATTTTTCACAAGACAACTATTTTTATAGAGGAGGAAGGAAGATCAAGAGAGCTAAGTGTTTTGCCTTAGATCACACAGCAAATAATGTATAATGTTAAATTCAGGCCTTCTAACTCAAGATACTCAAGTCATTCCATTATGACACTTTCAATGTAACACAGATACTATCTACTAAAGAATGAATTAGAAAATGGTTACAAAAAAACAAGGAAGCCTATTTGCTCCTACTCAGGATCCTTCCTTTCTTCATGATGAATTTTATCAACACGACCTACTTTTCCCCACTATGCCTTCAGGAATTCTTTCTTTCTAGGTCTGCAGTAGCCAGTGGTGGTTGTAGTGATATCTGTGAATTCTCAGGGTGGAGTCAGAGGACCTCTCTTTTGAGAATTTTGCCTTCTTGTCATCTTCATGAGAATGTTCTTTAGACATGTACCCTCAGCACATAAAAAAATTGAGCTCAGCATATTCTCCCCAAACTTCTCTTTCTTCTAGGTCAGCTCTGTTTTGTCATGCTCATCCACTTAGATGCCTACATTAGTAACCCAGACATCATCCTAAACTCCTTTCCCCCAGTTTCCTTCTTTCACCATGTATTCCTTCAGACTGGTTGATTTCTTTTTCTCTAAAGTCTTTCTTTAGTCTGTGTCTACTTTATGACCCTAATGCCACTTTTAAGTCCCCATCATATCCCATTTGGGTGTCTGCAATGATCTTCTAACTGGTCTTCCACTGTTACCTCTATAACATGAAAAGTTTGATGTTTGACCTTGCTCCATACAGAGTGGAAGGAACAGGCCAGGGCCCATGTAAAATGCTCTACCACCCTTTCCAAGAACAGGCAAGTAGACAATGCCAGCGTGTGTGTTTGTCTTCACTTGCCGACTTCCTCTCCACCCTGCTCTGTTCACATTTTTCTTCAGAGAAACCACACTGTTGAACAACAGATGGACATTCTAAACTAGGACTCTGTGCCTGGTCAATAGATAACGGCATTCTGGCCTAGACCAGAGGAAAGATCACAGAAGGCAGCACCTAAAAGGAAGTGGACATGACCTCAAAACACACATTACAGCCTCCTGCTCAGCAGAGGCTGGGGCTCTCCCTGGGCAGTTCTCAGCAGATATGCACAAAACATTTGCCTGCAGCTCTCTTAGGGAGCTCACGGTCTGCTCTGAATCTTTGCTTTTCTTGCTCGGTTCACAGTCTCCTGCTCTTTGAGAGCCAGTACATAGTGACAGCCAAAAGACTCCTGATGACCATGGCTAACTGTCTTTATTTCTTGGAGTCTCTTTTCCCACCTGTTAAATGAGGATAGTGACCTACACCAAACTCACCTTTTGGTCACAGTGAGAAATGAGAATCTCACAACATACTGAGGTTGATGCTTGACAGGGCTGAGGATATTGGTTTTGGAGTCAGAAAAACTGGGGTTAGGTCCAAGCTGAGCTACTTTATGTCTAATCCAGGCTCAGCCAGTAAGCCTCTCTGAATGTTAGTGTCTTCATCTTGGCTCATGCAGGCAAGAAAACCCCTGTAAATTATAAAGCACAATGTATATATAGTATGATGATATTTTTATAGTGTATATGGGACACTTTCTGGAGTTTTATGTCACTCCAGGGTTCCCTTAACAGCCCTCCTTCTCTATTCATCGGTACTCATTGGGAGTCTGCTGTTTGGGACTCATCACACTAAGCCGCTTGACCCTACCTGCTGGGGAAGAGCATGTGCCTGGTGTACATGTTACCCAGGGCTGAAAACTCCCAGTGGAAGGGATTCTGGCTTGTGTGGAGATGTTCTCTTGCTGTAGATAGTCTGATCCAAACAACAGTTAAGTATAAATCATGCAGGGACCACAAGATGAAACAGGTTCTTCCAGGGCGGAATCACTTAATAGTATATCTGGGATTGCCTGTTTTTATGTGAGTATCCTCACATGTGTGTTTCAGTGTGTCTCTCTGTGTGTGTGTGTGTGTGTGTGTGTGTGTGTGTGTGTGTGTGTGTGTTTGAAGATCAGACAGTAATGACCTATCTTTGAGACATTTAGGCTCTTCAGCCAAGTCAACCATGTCTTCAATGTAGGTAGGGGTGAGTAGAAAGAATACTGCGCTGCCATCATAAGGCCTGGGCTTCATCCTGACCCTACTAATCTGGGCCCAGTCACATCACTTACCTCATTTTCTCCTTCTGGAGAGCTCAACCCACCTCACAGAAGTCTGCATGGGTCACAGTGAGTGTTAAGGAGCAGATAGCCCTCTGTGAAACTGGGAGAGTCCCCTCTTGCTACATGGATGCTGCAGCACAAGGAAGGCTGTATTCCCAAAAGCCAGGATCCATTTCTACTCGTGGTACCGCTGGCAACAGCTGCTATGGGAAAGATTTGCTTCCACAACTTTTAGTAAGTGTGCCACACAGAGGCTCACTGAATATAGGCAGTGATATGGCTAAGACTCTTGAATGTTTATGGATTAAAACTAAAGACATGTTTAAGAAAACTGGTTTAAAATTGTTGATATTGTAACAAACAAACAAACAAACAAAGACAAAAATGAATGCCAAGGAGTCAAGCTTTACCTAGTTATGAGGATAAACCAGGAGAAATAATGCTAGACCTGGGTTTAGGGAGCCTATGATCTCTTCCACTCTCCCCAGTTTGGCTTGTAAGCTCCCTGAGAACCAGGTCATGTTTTGCTCATAACTGTATCTCACTGTGCTTGGCACATACAAGGGTGCTGTTTGAAGTATGCGCTTGTTGGCGTATTGACATGACAACATGTTCACAATATATCATAGTGGGTTACAAAAACATTATGAACAATATGTATATATTTCCATGGTAAAAAGGTTGGAAAGATATTAGTATTGTTATAATAACAGCTTTATTTTTGCATATATTACATGTTACTTTAATTTTCTTTTTAAAATTTTCATTCCATAACTTTCTACATATATTAGATGTAGAATGTATAATAAAAAAGCTTATAATGTATATATAAATAAATATATAACTATATTTTAGATATCTCCAGTTTTACAGTAAACTACAAAAATAGAGATTTGAGGGTTTAAAAAAAATAAAGTGTTAATTCATATAAAAATAAAAATGTTTGCAAAAATTGGCATCCAGAAGCAGTAATGGAGGCTATTTTTGTTCCCAGTAGTGCGCAAAGCTCAGTTCAGTGTAAGATACTAACACATAGCAGGAACTAGAAAAGCCTTCATACTTTCTACCTGTTCATTGCAATCAAATTGAAAACAACTCAAATTCTCAAAAATAGAGATCTGGATCACCAAACCACAGGATATCTATACTTTGGATCATTAAAGTGCTTTAAAGACATTTTTTAGTTTTAAAAGTTCAAGTATGCACATTATGGTATTTTATAGAAATACTTATGTAAAAGAATGCTAACTTGTCTGTAAATACTTATAATTCTGAGAAAACTCATGTTTATTAAGACTAAAATCCAAACAATGTAAAATAGAACTGTCCTTTATTTTTTGTAGAATTCCCTCATTTTATAATTTTTATAAATACAAAGTAGGAAATAGTGAATACCTATACAACAGTAATTAAAATGATTTCTAAAGGTCTTTGGAATTCCAGAAAATTATAAGCAAAATGTAATAGATTAGCAAGTACCCATATACTACACTGTGGCTAGGAGTGTAAATAGACCTAAGTTTCCTGAAGCATGACTTGGAAATATATATGTCAAATTTTAAAAGTGTCATTTCCTTAGTTCTACCAGTTCCATTTAAGAATTTAATTCAGGAATAATCAGAGACCCAGAGACATTCATCTCACTATTATTTGTGATGGGGGAGGGGCGGGGAAAGAGGAGTTACCAAAATGTCCAACAGTAAGAAATGGGTTGAATGGATATACCAATGAATGAAATAATTAGGCAGCCATTAAAAACATCTCATGGAGGAGTATTTAGTATTACCAAAAAAGTTTTATTAAATAGAACATGCCATATAATAACATTTTTTAAAAAAGAGACATGGAAGAATATAAACCAATACATTGACAAACGTTGTTTCTGGGGCACATTTATGCTGGGCTTCTTTTCAAGTTGGCTATTATCAGGGGAGAATTGGAGGAGGATATATTTTCTCAGAGCCTCACTTTCCTCATCTGTAAAATGAAAAGTTGGACTAGATCAATCCAGAGGTCCCCTCCAAGTCTGGTCCTGAATGCAAGCCCTGAATTCAAATATTATAAACATGTCTTGTGGTTTGGTTCATGTGGAACATGTACATAATATCAATACGGACATTCATGACGTATTGGATGTCATGAGGTTTTTTTCCTCTTGTGGGGATAGTGGAACTCTTCAAGTTGTACAGATTCTAGATCTTTACCTGTGCCTCCTCCCATGTCCTAGAAGAGCAATAAAGGCAATTGAACTAACAGTGTAGCAATTAATTTTTGTTTCTTTCCATTTTTTTCTACAGATTTTAATTTCTTTTTCAATTTTTCTTTCTTTTGTGTGTGTGTGTGTGTGTGTGTGTGTGTGTGTGTGTGTGTCACACACAAGATAGAAGCCATAAATTCCCCTATATCCCTCTAGATAATGGAATAAAAAACACCCAACTTCACATTGAACACAAGACTCTACTGCCCAAGATACTCTGGTTTGAAATCCAAACTTGAATTTTTATTCTAATTTGATATCTAAAAATTGGCAACCAAATTAAAAATTAAATGAGTTCAAGTTTATATTTATGACATATAAAAGGAAAGTTTTATATGTAACATTTCATTGTTACATATAAAAAGTGAAATGTTAAACACTAATTGCATGCCTGGCACCTGTGTGGGAATTCTGCCCTCCCAGCCAGGCTCAACCCCTAAATTCAGAGAGACTCATGGGATAGAGAGGACTCGAACCAGGGTGGGGTATCAGCTGGGCCGGGGAGAAAAGCAGGCTCATCCGGTGGTGCTGCATCATAGTGTTTATTGCTCTCAGAGAGGATGCTGATGGCTTTCAGGTGATGCATACTTGGTGAGAAAGCAGGTCTCTTGTCCACTATCAAGGCCTTGACTATGGACTATTTATAATCTCACCTTGTAGTCCTGGAAGAATGGCAAGCAAGAGACAATAGGATCCTAGGTACCAAAGCTTCATCAAACCTTCATCAACTTTGTAGAAAACTCATTTTCTTCTCAAATGAAACAGATGAATCATTCATTCATTCATTCATTCATTCTAGTGCCAGGATTTGGTCACAGATGAGACCTGCTCTTTGGAGAACTCATTGCAGGGAGGACCAGAGTGCTGGCTCTGGACCAGGCTGCCTGGTTTTGAATCCTGGTTTTTCCCTTCCTAGTTGTGAAAGCATGGACAAAATCAGTTAACCTTTCTGGTCCCCAGTTGTCTCATCTATGAAATGGAAATAATCACAACACAAATGAGTGCTGCCTGGCCCAAAGTAAGCATGCATATTAATCATTAAAATACAGCACAGGTGTTTTGCACACTTTAACAGAAGTATATGGCCACAAATAATTAATGTTGGGGAGTTACAAAGGATTCCTGATCAGTTAGGGTTCCATCAAAGAAGCACCACCACTACATAGGATATAAAATCAGAGATTCGGCCCTAACCGGTTTGGCTCAGTGGATAGAGCGTCGGCGTGCGGACTCAAGGGTCCCAGGTTCGATTCTGGTCATGGGCATGTACCTTGGTTGTGGGCACATCCCCAGTAGGAGGTGTGCAGGAGGCAGCTGATCAATGTTTCCCTCTCATCGATGTTTCTAACTCTCTATCCCTCTCCCTTCCTCTCTGTAAAAAATTAAAATAAAAATAAAGTCAGAGATTCATCATTGGGGCTCAGTCCTCACAATTGTAGGCATTAGCTAATTAGTCTATGTGAGACTGTTGCCTCAGAGTTTGGTGCAGGACTTGGAGTTAGAGGGGCAGGGAATTGGGAAGGAAATAGGTATGGCCAAACTGAAGCCCATTTCTGACTCTCACTGCTCCCAAGTCAGAGTGTTAGTGACCTGCAGGCATTCCCCTTGCTGGTCAAGGATTCAGAGAAAATGCAAGGGGAGATCTGGTAGAAACTAAAGGAGCTGAGGGCTCCAAAATAGGTAGATCAGGGACAACAAAGGTAAGACACCACAGCACACTATGTCCCACACCAATCTCTAAATCTTAAAACATAGTGGCTTTACTTCCATATTCCAAATATTGTGAAAAATGTCTCTTGTGGCCAACACTACTCTGCAGGAAAGGGGAGTCTGGGAAACATAGTTCCAGCTTACCTAAATTGACCTGGAACAAATCCACTATAGTTCTACAGAGGAAATGATGAAATTGGTTCTGAAAGAGTATTTGCCACAAGAAGAAAGGGAAAGGATATTCCAGACCCAGTGAAAATAATGTGCAGAAAATAAAAGGTCTGGTGTGTTCAGGACATCCATAGTGGTTGCAACATAAGGTGTTTTTCTTACAAAGCCACGGAATCAGTCCAATATAATCATGAGCCACTGTAGCTTGAAGAAGTACAGATCTATCTACTTATTGGGTCTAATTTTTCACTTTTAAAAAAAGAGACTTCTTTTTCTAATGTCTTTACCACTATCTAGGCAATTAGACAACAGCATTGAAAGGAAATGAACCTGGGTTTTGTCTCAGCCTTGCCCCACACTCTATGGGTGACCTTGGACAATCCTTTCACCCTCTAACCTCAGTAACCTCATCTCTAGGGATTTGAATTGAAGTGATAGCCAAGTCTCTAGAGTCACTTTAAACTTTAACATTCTCTGTTTTGTTTTGTTTTTGTTTTGGGGCTTTTTTTTGGGGGGGGAGGGGGACGTGGTGTTGGTTTTTTTGTTCTTTGGAAATTACTAGGAGAATAAAAGGGCACAGCAATTATCACTGTGGTAAAAGCCCAAACAGAAAATGTAGGACCCTTTGTCATATCACTTGACTTTTAGCTCTAGGTTCTGGAGGCAGGCAGCCTCTTGTGGTTGTTCCTGGAGTCTAAACCTGGTCTACGTTATGTGACCAAAGCCAGATTAAGGCTAATTTATATTTGTCATAGTAGCACTAGCCTTGCAGTGTGCTGGAAGCATCTAAAGCTGTCAACAAATGTTGCATGAATGAATTTGTGGCATCTGGTCCCAAATGTTCCATAGGTTTGGGGACAGTGTATGTGCCACTTTGAGGAGACCCTACCAGCGGTTCTCAACCTGTGGGTCGCGACCATCGGAAAACACTTATAACATATCAGATATTTACATTACGATTCATAACAGTAGCAAAATTACAGTTATGAAGGAGCAATGAAAATAATTTTATGATTGGGGGTCACCATAACATGAGGAACTGTATTAAAGGGTCGCGGCATTAGGAAGGTTGAGAACCACTGCCCCTCTTAAGCAGCGGTTCTCAACCCTGACTGCACATTAGAATCACCTGGGAATCTTTTTAAAATCCTGATTTCTGGGCCTCATCCTCTGAGGAAATTCTGTTTCTTTGTTATGGGGTGGGGCCACAGCATTAGTAACAAAGAAACAGAATTTCCAGAGGATGAGGCCCAGAAATCAGGATTTTAAAAAGATTCCCAGGTGATTCTAATGTGCAGCCAAGGTTGAGAACCACTGAAGGGAGACTCTGAATAGGAAATAGGTTCTTCAAATTCACTGTAATCTTGTCCTGTGTCCCTGGGAGGATTACAGGATAGAATAACTATGGAGGGAGCCAGGACAAAACCCTGCTACATGTTTAAAGTAACATGAATTCTAAACAAAGAAACAGCCAGCTGGCCTTTACACCTGTGCATATATTAATAAATAGCTCTGATTGGAATATTTCTAGATGTAGGTATACCGTCTCTCAAAATTATTGGGGAAAGTCAGATATTGTCCCACATTCTTTGCCTATTTTCAGAGATGTTCAAATGCTGATGCCCAAGGAAGACAGGTGCTGGACTTTGTGGAACCAAATAAAATGCTGATATATTTCATTTCTGTCCATTATGGAAAAACAATATTGCTAAAATACAATAGGTCTGTATTCTATGGATGCAACTTGAAACTGCGGAAAATGTGGACTTTGGAGCCAGGAAACATAGCTTCAAATCTGGGCATTCCTGATTAAGAGTTGCATATACTAAGCAAATTATTTCATCTCTGAGCCTCAGTGCTTTATTTTGATAAAAAGGAATGAACATACTAATTTATTAAAGATCTCAAGTAAAAATAGTATATATAACTAGTGGTGAGTGCTCAATAAATATTATTTATTTTCCTTATATACCTCAAAAAGTAAAAATATCTTATTTCTGAGTTTTCCTAATGCTATTTGTATGTTATTAGTTTATTTGTTGGGTTACATGCTTGCCCTTGCAAGCAGACAAGTGATATCAGTCACAATTGCTTAAGGAAAAAGAAACTGTGGGAAAAATAAAACTGAATACATTATTTTTTTGCACAGGAGTCAATTTCTAGCTTCATACAATCACGTTCTATGCAGGAAAGGGCTCTGAGCCTTGTTTTCTAGACCCACAGGCCATGAAAGCTGAAAGGTTCTTAGAGGCTGACAAAGCCATTCCATGGATGGGGAAACTGAGGCTCGGAAAGGGGAGTGAGTTGCCCAAGATCTGTTCATGGTAAGAAATAGTGTGAGAAAGGGAATTGAAGTCTTCTGATTCCTCGTCCAGTAATAGCATGTTGCCTCAGAGTCTTCTCTGATTCATCACTGGAATCTTGGAAAATTTCCTGTTCTCTGTCTACCAGTCTTCCCACAAAACAAAAGGCGGCAAAGATAACTCACAATCCATACCTCACAGAGAAGGCCCAGGCTGCAATGAGTTCAGCTCCCTGGACTATTAATTATTCATAAAAAACACCTAAATATTACAAGGGAGCTGCTTTGTAATTGTCAGATGGAAGGGTCCTTTTTCCATGGGGGTGGGAGAATTGATGGTTGAGTCCTTGATGTGTTGAATAACCTGGAATAAATCACTTACCCTCTCTCAGCTCCATTACACTTAGCTGTAAACAAAGGAATATGGTCCAAAGTCTAATTAAGCTTCCTTCTAGCCCTACTAGTCTAACTTTCTATCAGTTACTTCATATAAAGACCCAATCATGAGATGACTAACTACACTTCCCAATGCAGGGACCTAGAGCAACTTAGAATCACCACTAGGAAAATAAAAGCTAATGGGAATTAAATTAAAAGTAGGAAAAGAATATATATTTCTTTTTAAGCACTGTTTATCTGGTCTATAATCCTAATTATGTAAGAACACACTAAGACCTCTTAATCTTTAATAAGATTTCTAAGTAATGTTTCAGAAGTATTTCAGGCTTCTCCTTTCTCTTCTTTCTCCGGGCAAATGTGGACTTAATCTAAGGACATGTATTGATAGGCAGTGATTTAAAAAACAACAACAACAACAAAAAACAGGGTAAGTGGATCCAGATCAGGACTTGGGACCAGGTTTTTACTTTATTTAATTCCCTCTTGCATTATGAAAGGATGGAGAGAGCCACCAGCCCTGTTCAGAGAATTGGGGTGGGGGGGGGGGGCGGCTGGGATGGGGTGGGTGGGTTGTCACTGGCCAGCTAGGAAAGCCTTGGCCTTGCTTATTCCACTTTGAGCCTCGGTTTCTTTCTGTATAAGAAAAGGGGGTTGAATTAGATGCTCTCTAAACTTCATTTAAGAGCTAAAATATTAGGCTTGCCTGGGTTTTTAGGGCAGAGTTGCCAAATTAAGCTTCTCTTTGTCTCACAGCCCAAAGATCTCCATTTCTTCTCCCTATAGGACCCCAGTACCGCGATTCTGTTTAATTCATTTACAGCTGAAATCTGTTTCCTTGCAATGAGTATATGCATTTTCATAATTTTATAAAAGCTTTCAATCAATAAAGCCAAAGGTATTCCTCAAGGAGTTGCAATTAAAGAAGCAAAAATGTTAGGGATTGGTGATAGAAAGGGAGTCAGGGGAGGGGGGGACTGTGGTTTCCCTTGAAATCCTACCAAGTGCAAGCAGCCATGGCTCTGGTACCCTGAAACTGCTGAGTTGACAATGCCTTAATGACACCTGTTCTCTCTAACCTCAGTTTTGTATGTTCTTACAAGGAATCCTTCATCTGTGAAGACAGGTACAAATTGATGTATCAATAGAGACTTCTTTTAAATATAAGCCTAATGAGTTCACTCTCATTTTAGATGGCTTGGAAAGTAATCTGTGGATGAAATAGTTAAAATTTCACTGGCTTGAGATGTGTATCAGGCAAAACTCCCCTGAACGTTTGAGGAGTGAACATGCAAACATAGATGGGCAAAATTCTTTAGGTTCAAAGGCTAATTTGGGAAAAGAACCCAAAAAGTTGAGATGCTTAAAAGCTGAAGCTTATCTGACTTATTTGGGCTGGGGTTGGGAGAAGGCAGAGGCATTCATGGAGAAGACAGAACGTGATATGTGTTCTCACTTCACCGTTGTTCTCACTTTGCTGTTGCTTTAATGCTTATGTGTATTTTGATGGGAAATGTAATCCACATATTTTGAATCCTTTGCACTTAAACCTATGGAGGTGCTGGTTGGTGAGCGTGGCCCAGATGACCAGGTGGCTGCTAAAGAATTGGAAATCCTTGAAGCAGAATTTCATCAAAGCATGGAGATCAGTCCTCTCCCCAAGTGCAGGCAGAGAATGAGACAAAAATAGGGGGGGTCAGGGGGGCAAGCAAAGGGACCTGACGGGATATGGTCTGTGACCCCATATAGAGGTTGGAGGACTGTACAGGAAAGCCTGAAGTTGGGATTAGAAAACTGGAGCTTGAATCTCTTTAGCAACCATAGTTTCCTCCCTTTTAAAATGGACATTTTGATCAACAATTCTCACTCCTTGTGGTTGTGAAAATTAAATGAAATAATGCTTATGAAAGTTCATGGTTCTGCCCTTGGCACAAAATAGACACTGGATAAATATTTTATTATTGCTTTTAAGTCCAATGCAAATTCTTGTTTCTTTATGTGTTTCCAGAACTGGTTTACCCTGTCTCCCACCCACAAACCCTAGTGTCACCCTGAAAGCGGCAAGAAGTGCACTCTCTCTGGAAAACAATATAAATTGGCTCACATATTTTTTTTCATACTAACAGCATGATTTCAAAACACTTGAAAAAACCAGAGCCAAAGCAAATTCCTTTTCCACGCCAACCCCACACAAACTTTTTAAACCTTGGAAATCAGACAAGAGAGAGAGAGAGCAAAGAGAAAAAGCCCAGCCTTCCATTGCTTCACATCATATATATCGAGTTCATTTCACAAACACAAGGTGCACAGTCAGAAGTGCCTTGGGCAAAGTTTGTACCTTCTTGAATTCTGACTTTTGTTTACCAAGGTAATAAACCAGTTCTCTGCTGCCCCAGGTGTAAAGCTATTATGAAAAGGCATATTTGTATTTCACCCCGCCTCAGAGGTACGGTATGTGGGACATCCTGCACTGTAAGAGCAGCCGGGACTTAGTATTTACAGAGAGAGGCACCTGAGGGCGGAGGGCAGTGTCGTCTGTCCAGCTGGGAAAGGCTGAGCCCCAGCAGACCTGGCCATCTCACCTTTCTCTTCCTCTTCATCCACCTGCCTCTTGGACACCAGCACTCACCCTCTTTGCCTTGGCAAATAGCCCAGCCTGCAGGCGACCCTCTGGGCAGACTTTCCTGCTTCTATTTAGACAAGTTACATCCTCTTCTCTGGCTTTTTGTCCTAAGTTTTCCTACTAACCCAATGCGGATACACTTTGTACAGCCAGAATAGAGTAGATAAATACCGCACCTGCAGAAACTTTTGCTCCAATCCCGGGTCTGGAAATCTCCATGGCCTTTCTTCCACCTCCTTCACACAGTCTGTCACACACCAATGGGTTATCTGAGGCCTGGGATGGGTGGGAGGAAACTTTCACCCAAATCTCTGACTGAGCGAAATGGCCTGGAACCCACTCTAAATCATCTACTGAAATCTTGGCACGGGAAGGAGGAAAGAATGTATGGAAAAGGGCAGACTGAGAACGCCAAGGCCGTTAGCCTGGGCCAGTGGGAGAACTGCTGGGGTGACTATGCCTCTGGGCAAGTCTGGCAGACCAGCCAGAAACTTGCACTAAGACACTCGGCTGCATGACACAGGCAATTCTCTCAGTCATTATCAGACCTTGGCTAGAAGTGGCGCCTCCCTTTTATCTTCTGGAAGATGATTCTAGTTTCTTCAGTTTCTTCAGAACTTTGGGTTCCCTACTAGGTGCAGCAGCTTGAGCCAGCAGCTAAGGCAGCATAGGCACTCCATAAATACTTTCAAACAATTTATTAATTCCAGCTTTGTTGCTTGACAAAGATCTTGAGCAAAATAACTTCTATGAACTCAGATTCATCATCTGTAAAATGGGAATCATAATAGTAATTTCCTTTCAGAGTTTTTATAAGGATCAGGTGAAGAGCCCTGTGTAAACTCTAAATTGTTGCACAAACATTGCTACTTACAGCAATGTCGAACTCCTCCTTAGACCCACGCTTCTAGACCATGCTTTGTCAATCACGGTCTCCCTCATGCTGCCTGGAAACTCAGTATGAAACACACCCACTGAATCTACAAAGGTTTAGGGTCAATGGAAGGCAATAAGAGCACAGAGATTAATATAACCCTTTCCTTAGGGAGCTTAGTAGGAGAATGAGGATAAGAAACAAATATCCCATCATTGAATGCATAATTACTGAGAGCTTAATATTTAATCATTCAATAACTATTGAGGGCCAATTATGGACAAGGCATTGGGAATTCTTGGCTGAGAATTGTTTCAGTTAGGGTAGGCTAATATCATGACTCAACACAAAACATATTTATTTTTCATTACATAACAGTGCAAGATAGGTATGTAGGTTGCTGGGGCAACTCTCCTTCATCTAGTCATTCAAGAGCCTAGGTTCCTTTTGTCTTGTGCCTCTATCATCCCTGAGGGCCTTGTCATCATCTGGCAGGAAGAAGAAAGCATGCAGCAGTGTGCATGAGAGGTGTTCACAACCAGGCCTGGAAGCAACACTAGAGATTTCCACTCGTGTGCCATTAGGCAAAGCTCTGTTACACCCAACTAGAAAGGAATATGGAATGAGCCTTATTGTGTTTCCAAGAAGAAGAAACAGATTTTGGTGGACATCTAACCAACTTTACAATAATATAACAAGTAACAAGACAGGATCCCTACCTTCAAGGAGCTTAGAGTTCTAGGAAGGTTATGATAAACAAACATACAATGAAGATAATTTCAGCTAATAGCAGGTTCTCTGAAGAAAATAAAACAGGGGAATGTGATGGTGGCTCTGGGTGAGAGGGCCTATTTTAGATGGTAGATAGGGTTATCTGAGCAAATGACAGTGGATCTGAGACTGGAATGAAAAAAAAAAGTGATCAGTGACGGGAGAGGCAAGGGATGGAGAGTCCAGTAAAAATACAAGTGCCCCAAGATGGGACTTGCCTGTCAAGGTGAGAACAGAGCAAAGGCCACGGTGGTGGGGGTTCTGTGAATAATGGGGAGAACGTTATAAATAAGGCCAGAGAAGTTGGGAAAGGGCTTCAAAGCCATGGTAAAAAACAATTGGGTAAACAAGTTTCAAGATTCATGGTGATTGATATAGAAAGGAGATATCTGCAGATCTTCGGCTCACACTTCCTCAAATCAATTCACTGCTTTTCCCCAGCTCTGTTCTGTTCTGTACTGTAGGAGGGCTGACCCTGTGTATCCCAAGATCCTATGTCAGCTGTCTTCCAGCTGGTAACAGCCAACGGGAGGCACTGGCAGAAGATTGGAAGGTAAGAGAAAGGGAGAAGGAGGGTACCTCTCTCTCTCTCTTTCCCTTTCTTCCTCAGGCAGCTTCTACAGCAGGGCTCTGTCCCTTCATGGCTCCAGCTCCTACTATACAGGCCCTTCATGGACTAGGTTCCACTTGGTGACCTTCTGTCTTTGTCCCTCTAGTTCAGCCTGGTAGCAACCCTTGCTATTGCTAATGGTTGGACTGGCTTCCCAATTTCAATCACCTGTGTGGCCAATAACCTGAATTAGATTTCCTGTGACACTTAGAGTGGCTTCCATTTCCCTGGTTGGACCCTGATGATGATGGATAGGTACAAGGTACAAACCACATACCATGGGAATGTTCCCTCAGTCCCTGGTACCAGGCCTGGCATATGGCAAGTCCACAGTGTCTGTCTTGTTTTGTTTTTTACAGAGAGAGAGTGTGGAAGGCAAAGTACATAGAAACATCAATATGAGAGAGACACATCGATTGGTTGCCTCCTGCCCGCTCCCTGACCAGGGCTAGGGATTGAGCCTGCAACCGAGATACATTCCCTTGACTGGAATCAAACCCGGGACCCTTCAGTCCACAGGTTGATGCTCCATGAACTGAGCCAAACCAGCTTGTTCTCGAGGTTAGAGTTCAAATGTGTCCTATTGGCCTAAAACCAAGGAATCTCTAGGAAAGATCTGTTTTCATGCCTTTTCCAGATTGTAGAGACTGCCCACATTCCTTGGTTCATGCCCTCTTCCTCCATCTTCAAAGCCAACAATGGCAGATCACGTTTCTCACAATGCCACCACTCTGGTTCTGACTCTTCTGCTTCTCTTTTTTCTATTTCAGACATTTGTGATTACACTGGGGCCACAGGGTAACCTAGATGGCTAATCTCTATTTTTTTTTAAGGTCAGTTGATTAGCCAGTTTAATTCCATCTGCAATCTAAACTCCCCTCTCCCCACAGGATATAATATATTCACAGGTTCTGAGGATTAGCATGTGGACATCCTTGGGGAGTCACTATTCTGCCTGCAGCAGTGACTAACAGAGCACATACATCAAAATGGGGAGAGGGCGGTTATAGAGACTTGCTACAGGAAACAGTAGCTTGGGGCACTCTACTGCACACAGTAAGAACTCCATGTCTGTGAACTAAGATGAGGGGCTATCGTACTCTGGGGAGAACATTTGTGTCCTCTGGTTCGGGGAGTCTCTCCAGAGAAGCTTGAAGCATGGCTTGCTGTTGGAAACCCCTCTGAGTGTGCTCTTGCCTGCCATGTCTGGGATGCAATGCTGGGATGCAGCTCCTGTTAATCTCTCACCCAGGATGGCACGTAGATTTCTTGTTTTCTCAGAGAAAGGTTCATTTCAGAGTGGGGAGTGGGTGAAGGCAAACTGTTGGATGAAGCACATGAGGCCCATCAGTTCCAATTCAGGGACAACTGGAGTTGATGCAGGCATGCCATCCAAATATAATCAAACGCCTCCTGTTGCCAGACGACATGCTATTCAGTGGGGGATGGTGGGGGTTGTTGTGAATCCGAGATGCCTTCTGTAACTTTATCAGATGGGTACTGGGAGGAAAGAGAGGGAAATTCACTTTACTGGTAAATAAACTTCCAAACTGTAGCAAATTCCACAATAAGTGGGGGTGGGGGTGGGGAGGGCAGGGCATGCTCAGAGTGGCAGGATTTGTGACAGTGTAAACCCATGGGCAGCAGACAGCACCAGATCCCAAGGAAAATCTTGGGATCCACTCCCCCACTTGTGTGTGTGTGGAGTGGGTGGGGTAGAGAAATGAGTCTGAAGAGGATAGAGTTTAGGTAAGTAGAGAAAAGCTTTCTCTCTTTTGAACTACATTTTATGGAAATGACTTTCTTTAAACTGCTTCATTGGAACTGGAGTTCCACCACCCACTCTTCTCATCTCCTAGACCAGCACCCAAGGACAGAACAAGGTGAGAAAGACTGCCAGGCCTGATCTGGGAAAAAGGAGCCTGCCTTTAGGGACATTGGTCTGGGGTTAATGTCTTAGTCACTACAACCCAAAGGCATGCAGACTCTGATTTCAAGTTCTGAGCTTCTTGAACCACTGTGGGGTACTGTGAACATCTCAGGGAAATCTTTTGGACAGTAACCTGTTAAGGGATTGCATCTTAGTTGAGTCCTTCCAACTACCTTTGTCATTGGGAATGCTGTGTCATTCTGGTTATGTAACTTGGCTAGAGGTAGTATAATTGTATATTTTATCAGCACAGAGATGTTACATTAGGGACATTTCTCATTCTTGTAGACAATTTTTGGTTCCTGAGAACCTTGAAGGATTAATGGCTATTAACTCACTCAAAAAATGTTTAGCAGTAGACATAGGACTCCTCTCCAAGGATATATGGGAGGCAAGAGCTGGAGAGAAGCTGACTTTGATGCTTTCAAACTTTGTACCTTATGTATCTGTTATTTATTCGAAAAATAAATATATTATAAAATATACAGAATCATTATGATCTCAACTATATACAATCAGCAGGTAGAACAAGGGAACTACAATAAAATTTAATAGCACTCAACTTACTCTGATGATATTATTTGTCTTACCTATGATACCTCTGCATATCTTCTATGCCAGTGATGGTGAACCTTTTGAGCTTGGCGTGTCAGCATTTTGAAAAACCCTAACTTAACTCTGGTGCTGTGTCACATATAGAAATTTTTTGATATTTGCAACCATGGTAAAACAAAGGCTTATATTTTTGATATTTATTTCATATATTTAAATGCCATTTAACAAAGAAAAATCAACCAAAAAAATGAGTTCGCGTGTCACCTCTGACACGTGTATCAGAGGTTCGCCATCACTGTTCTATGCCTTCCTCAATGAGCAATATAAAAGATATTTTCTGGGAATGTGTCCATGCAGCATCCACTTACTCCACTGCCATTTTATTACTCAAAGATATTTTCAATGATTTAAAAGTTGCATTTTTTAAACAATCAAGGAAGCAGTATTTCTTATGCCACTGCTACATTAATCTATAGCTCAGGCTCAAACTGATAAGATAGTCCCCGCCCCTATGGCTTTTCCAGTTTCTTTTCAGTTTGCCAGTGAGTGGGCTGCATCTCTAAGTCTGATTCGTGGATCTCCTGTTGTTCACTCAGTCATAGTGAAACGCTGTGCATATGTCACCCTTCGTGACTGCTAGGTTTCGGTTCAGTTAACCTCCCTGTTATCACTGTCATCTCCACCGTCATTCAGCACTGTCTCACATTGTCAGCCAGCAAGCTTTTCTCAGTTCAGTGCCATAGGAGTTTTTAAGCACTTGCAACCTTTGACCATGTGCTGTGGGCGTGTGGAGGTGAATCCAAACTGTTCGGCTCCCTGAGATACTTCTTCTCTGAAGGGAGAGCGTATATATGGAGTTAGCTTTGTCTGGAGCTAGAAAGCCGTGAGGGCTGTAAAAACTATCATGACATATTATGACTGTCAGATGGGAGAAACAGGAAATGAGTGCTTCAAGGAGGAAACCTTCCTTCCTTCGATTCTCCTGAGTTCTTCGCCTGTGCTTCCTCTCTGGTCTTTATCACAGTCTGCAGTGTGTCATGTCCTTATCTCAGTCTTTTTTATTGCCTACTGTGGCCCGGGTGAGTGCCATAGTGCAACAGAGATACCAACAAAATGCTACAGAGCTTGGAGGAAGCTGAGATTAATTTCATTCTGGAGGCAGAATTTGTAGAGGAGCTAACATTTGATCAGACTTAAGGGATTGATGACATTTAGATAGCAGAGACAGAAGACAGAATAACTTAGAGGAAGAGCAGGGCAATGAGGATGGGGTTGCTGTGTAGGGATGAACTTATCTAAACTTTAGAGGCCACATTTGTAACGTGAAGTGGACTCTGAGGCTCAGAGAGGTTAAGCAGTATGATGAAGGTCACACAGCTTGTCAGAGGTTGCTGCCAACATCAAGTAGCACATGGAATAGTAGGGCTAATGTTTATATAGCACCCACTGGGTGCCCATGCTCACATAGCTAGTAAGGAGTAGAGCCATGGTACGTGCTCAGGGCTCAGAAGTGAAGGCCTTAGCCACTATTCTATATCACCCTCAAAGGATAAGAAAAATGGCCCATATACCAAAGCATTCCATTATTCCTTATAACTTGAACCTGTCCCTTGAACCCCAAATGTTGTTGATCTTAAATTCTAGGTTGTTTCTGAGCTAATTAAGCTTCCCAGATAATCACCAGCCTGTTGACCTGGTACCTAGTCTGCTTGCTAAGATGTTACTCTAGGGGTGAACTTTCCCACAACTGGAGAATTTAGTTCAAACCTTGGACCCAGCTTGATTTGGCTTGGCCTAAGGCATTGGGAGAGCTGCCTACTCTAGGCCTGACTGTGGCTGTAAGCAGAGCTCCTTGACTCCAGGCAGCATGCAGAAACCTCTCTCAGTTCTGAATTTCTACGATGGGGAAAGACATGAGCCACATAGGCATCTTCCAGGTTGATAACCTTGTTGAAGAAAGAATCAGCGTAGGGCCAAGTTACGGCCAGGTATGTGAACAGCCAAATGGGACATTCTTGCCATTGCCCAATACCATGATGCCTTTTTTTTTTTCAGGAGACCTTTCATTATTACTGGAAAAATGCTAACTCCTGGCCTAATAGAAATCAAGTCTTGGAACTGGCACTATGGCAGTGTTCCCTGAGAATGTTCTCCATTATTTGTTTTCATTACTGCCGTGGTGGTACCTTCAATGTCACCATTACTGCTCTTGACAGAAAAATGATCTAGGAATAAAGTTCCTTTCTATGCTCTTCCAGGGGGAAAAAATAAACACTTTAGAGTGATAACATGCTATTTGTTTGTGCGTTTTAGTTCACAGTACTTTCACATATTGCACTTTCAGTCTTCCTAACAAACTTTTGGTTGTGTGTGTGGTGGTGGGAGGATGGGAGGAAGGTTCATGGAGGAGAAGCATTACTTTCTTTGGATTCATGGGGACTCTGAGGCTCAGAAAGGTTAAGCGGTATGATGAACATCACACAGCCTGTCAGTGATAATATAGGGACACAGATGCCAGTTTCCTGCCTCCAGACCCTATGCACTTCTCACATTTCTGAACTCCCAGAAACATGGTCCTTAGAATTGGAGAGAAGTCTCTTAGCCTGATGTCCACACCCTCCCAACTTCACCCTTAGCTATATTATTCTAAGCAAGCATGTCAAACTTGCAGACCACGGGCCTCATGTAGCCCACAATGTATATTTTTGCAGCCCAGCCAAAGCAGTATGTAAGATATGTTTTAATAAAAAAAGAAATTTTGTAACTTAATTTTTATAATATCCTGTTATACATAATTATTAATAACGACCTATAATGTTCGCTAATGACTGATTACTATAATCGTGTTCCATTCATTTCCCTTATAGACTTTACACGCAGGCACACCATTTCTCTCCACTAATACTAGCAGCGAATATTTTAGCAGCCAATTGCCATTTCATTAGTCTTGGACTGGCTTGTTTAGTGTGCACAACAGGAAATATTTTGCTTTCAGAGAACAAAAAAAATAGGTTTATTTGCGTTAAGCTTATTAATTTGTGCAGTTATTCAGTGTCTGGTAAGTTAATGTTCAAGAAAAAATATTAATTTTTATTAAAATGTCTACTATTTTATGTTAATGATTACTCATTTATTTTAGCCCTTTGTATTCAGCATGTCTCTATCAAAATAAACCTACGTTTCTATGAAAATTAAAGCTTCTGTTTTTTTTGTGGCCCACATAAACCTAAACCTTGTTTATTTGGCCCTTTACCTTTGAGTTTGACATGCTTGTTCTAAGGAATTTGTCAGTTTCTTTTGGGAATGCAACTCAGGGCTCAGGCTCCACAGGGAGTAGATTTTGCCCCCAGAGAACAAACAATTAGCAATGTCTGGAGACATTTTAGATTGTTACAACTAGGGAGAGGGAAGTGGATGGTACCTGCATCTAGTTTGTAGAAATCAGAGATGGTGGAAAACATCATATAATGCACAGGAGAGCCCACTGTAACAAAGAATTATCCAGCCTAACACATTAACAGAGCCGAGGGTGGGAAGCCCTGGATTTGATTAAAGGAAAAAAACTCTTCAATTCCCAGATTCCCATGAACATAGAGGGTTTTCCACGAATGTCTTCTTTTTCAAAACAATTATAGACAAAATGCATGCATTTTTCTCCTCTGACCATAATGATGATCTGCCAACTATGTCAGAACTCAAAGGGGAAATGAGGCCCAGAAAAAAAGAGGTAACTGCTCAGGGTCACCCAGCTAATGTGTGACAGGGAAGGAACAGCCGGTTCTCCTGCCCCACCTTGAAAGCATTTTCTATTTCATGATGCTACATTCCCCTGCTCACTAGCTCTGCTTTGAGCCATTTTCTGACTCACTGACTTAACAAATGTTGTGATCTGAATATGCTTGCTAACACAGACCTGCTTACTGAGTATCCAATACAGAATGAGGAGGCGTGAAACAACCTAATGGATCTGAGAAGAACCTCCTTGATTCTGCCTCATTTCCCTTTCCGTCCTCAG